ATACGACAAGGCCATGGCACCCCTTTCATGCTGCTTACAGACAGAGAAAAGTCAATACTTTTTTATTACTTGATGCTGACCTACATTCTGCACTACAAGTGCCAGGCCCACTAATTGGTTTCAGTTGTGAGAAAAGTTTGCCCCAAAGAAACACTGGAGCAGATAAATCAATCTTTTTTAGGGTAGCTTAGTGGGTTTTGAGCACTTGAAATGACATTTGTGTTGTATTGACAGAATGGGTTGTTACACTCATTTTGTCATGTCAGAAGGCCCTGTACTAGTTGGAAGTATTGTTAACCATTATTGATACATTTGCTAAGAATAAAAGTTAGCTGGATCAACATTTTACTTGTGTAACAGCTTGCCATTTCTGGTTTGCTTCCTTGTTAGAGACCTCCATGGCTATGAACAGGTCAGGAGGCTTACTATGACAGTTCAATTTAAAGCTCTAATTTTACTATTACAAGCATTAGGATCATAGGCAATACTTATGTATGACCACTTAGTATTAAACAGGGGAGGGTTGGACTATGTCTGTACAGTGACTCTTGGCAGTACTGCTTGGTTTTCAAATGAGGTGGGCACATAAGCTGTGTCCAGCCTGGTGGGGACAGCAAGATTGGTCATGCTTGCTTATATCCTACACTAAGAACATAACTACTGCTTCGGCGTTTATGCAGAATTTCCCATTGCATTCTCTAAAGTCTTGATGTAAACGTGGATGCTGATTACAAGCTAAAGAAAAGTGAATTTTGTTCTCTGTTTTCAGTGTTCAATAGCATGAAGATAGAAGATAGAACTAGGATTCCAGCAGCAGTGCCCACTTTTCAGTTATTCCTTCTGCCATTGATTCTTCTCAACAGATATAATTCCAGCCCTACCAATATCTTTCTGAGATCCAAACCTTTCACAAATTGACTTACCTTTTGCATAGCACATGATGTCATGGCTCACAGAATGCAATTATACAATGTCTTCATTTATCAACGTCTTCAATAGGCTCAGAAGAGGACTCGATGCTCTGAATCACCAGTATGGATAGAAAGCTTTTCATTAGAGGTTATACAGTTTATCTTAGAAACATCTTCATGTGCTGCTTCTCCTAACCTATGACAAAAATCTGCATTCATACAACCTAATGCACCTTTAATCTCGATTTATGCAACTAAATGAAATTTTGTTATTACAGAGAAAAAGTATGCAAAGCTTTAAATCATGTATCATAAGTTTAACATAAGCTTATTGTTCCAGATTTTGTCATGTGATTAACAGCTTCATAATTATTACAGACTTGATGGATTTGCTCTTGGAAATTACCTGATATATGTATGCAGGAGCTGAGAATAAATGGACATAATGGTACTTTCTAGCCTTAAAATCCATTAGTAGTTATGCTACTGGTGTTTGCCTGTTGTTGCTTTGATCTGAAGCAGCTGACTTTCTACATTAAATTTCCAAAAAGATACTTAATTGTAATTCCAATGTCATTCCGAAGTGCATTTTTATATTACTGGAAATTGTACAGTACTCTCAAAATTGTTTGGAAAGAAACTCTACTAGGGCAAGTTTATCACTAGAATATGAGGGAATGCATTTTTAAAAGCTTTCAAACTGTTACATAGGTCTGCAAGGTCTCATTGGATGGACAAAGTTATTTGTACAGGGTCTGTATTTATGTATGTCTGCATACTCGGATGTAAAATCTCTTTAGAATTTGCTTTAATAATAACATTCCAAAGAGAAACTATGTGAGTGAGTCTATTTTGTTACATCATAGTGTGCTGATTGAGACAAATATTGGTGGCTTTATGTCACCTTTTATGATTACATTATTCCATTGGTGAGCATTCATGACAGTCAAGTAGTCAAATATATTGAAAGGGTCCGTAGGTCTTGTTAAGTTCTGTCACTTGAACTGGAGTCACAATTTACTGGAGTGAAAGGAGTCAAAGCTTGACAAGTTTAAAAAAGAAGTCTTATATTAACTTCATTTAGGAATTTAAAAATAGGTCTCGGTCCTGAGAATTACAGGTCTCTGATGCTGAGAATTATATGGCATGATTTAAGAAGGCATTGTGGAAAAATTCCTTAAAGCTCAGCTCCATGCTCCTATGATCCTGAGATTGTGAAATTGTAGGGTCAGTCTCGCCAATATGTGGGAGTTCATATTTGTAAGGTAATTAATTTCAGCTGCTAACTATGAGGGACTAGTGGTGAAAGTAATTTTTAAGCAGCCAGTTATTCACCACTCAACTTCTGTTCTTGAAGCTATAAAAGGATTCCAATTCCCTCCCCTTTTCACTGGTGCAATGATACAGTAGGATACTCTCTACAGCAATGTGAGGTAGATCCTGCAAGACCAAGTGGTATTTTTATGCCTTACTTCCTCACGCTGTTGAAATCTGATTAAAATTTATATTTTTCAAATACAGAAATTGCTGGGGTTCTTTTCCTAAAAAAATATTTAAATTTTATATGCATGCTTTGGAACATTTATCTAGTATACTATCTAAACTTCTTTAATTAATCTAACGGTAAAGCCAGCAGCACTTCGGTTTATCTATCAGACTGTGTGATGTTTCCTAAATGAAAACACAACTGCTGTCGTCATAATCGGAGCCAGTTGTTTAAATGCTCAGTTGTGAGTATCTAGTGAAATAGCCTTAAATAACAAGATAAACAGTACAGCTGCCAACCCAAAGTAATCTTACACTGAGGGGGCGTGTGGCACAGAAAATTTCCTCTTTGTCATTTTGATTTGAGTTTGAAGCTGGACCTGGGCTTAGTTCCAGCTCAAAAAACTGTTCACTTCAAAGGCTCCTAAATCGTCCCAAGGAGCTAATTTTGGCAGCCAATTGTTTTTGTTTGGCCAGGCATCCTAATAGCAAAAGCCGTCTGCTCTAGCAAATGAAGACTTCTTCAATGCTCAGACTTGCCATTTCTGATTTTATTCTGATGTGGGGGGTGTGCACCTTTTACTGCTTTGCCCATCTCATCCCAAGTTAACTGGATTTTTTTGTTAAACTGTAAATAGCTGTCCTGCATGTAAATTAAAAACATACTTCTTATTTTCAAAGTAAAGGATACTGAATTCTGCTCTCAATTTCTGCTTAATCCTAAATTATAGCTGCATTATATGTTTGCTTTCATGGCAACTAGAGCTGGTGTTTTTTCCATTCCCATGAACAATATTAGTCTGGTGAATTTAGTGAATTAAATATAACTAGCTTCACTTTAACAGGAAACTATATGCAGTTATGCTAGAGTTATAATAGTATTTATTGGAATAATAATATAGACAACTTTTCCTCTTATAAGAATGTGCTTGTGATGCCAAACACACAATGAAAAGTAAAAATTTTGGTCATTCTTCAGGTAAAATATGAAAACATGCAAATATGCTGTTTCTGTTGGGTAAGAAATTGGGCAGTACCAGATGTAGAAAAACATTACGAATGAAATCTTGTGAACAGTTAACAATGGAACAGTACTCACTTTCATGCCACACAGGGAATATTTAATTTTGATTGTATATGTCTACCTTGCTATATTAAAATTTGTGCACGAGAATGCTGGAGGAATCATAACAAAGAACTTCAAGTTTGAGATGTAAGAAATTAAATGGTCACAGTTGGTGATACGCAGTGCAGATGAAACTCAAGTTGGCCATGTCAGTATTTGCGTGATGCTTACCAGAAGTCATAGTTGCTCTGTCTGTTTATGGAGATTTAGCTGAACTGTGGTCTGTGAAGTAGCTAAATCCAATTATCCAGAGGATGATAATTCTATTTCATAACACTTTTCAGAAAAAAAGAAAGCAACCAACCTAAAACCATTCTGTTTTTGAGAGAAAACAAAACCTTCCCAATTGTGAAATATGTTGGAAAAGTAAAAATTTTAGCTTTCGTTCACTCATGGCCTCAGATATTTTATGAAGACATTGAATCTCCATGCACTTTCACTGGGCATCACATTGACCATTAAAAACAACAGAAAGTTTTCAGACCAACTTCTTAAAAATTAATAATCAGATCCTGGAAAGCTGATGATTCATCTGTGGCATGTTACTTTCAGAAAGGGGAAAAAAATAATGAAAAATAAATATTTTGTATTGCTGATACTATTCCCAGTAATTAAGGGTCAAAGAAAATAATTTTATTAAGAATGCTTTAAAACTTTGATCTGAAAAACCATGAACCTGCTAATAATTTACCATAGCACTTATTAGTAAGTAGCTAGATCAAAATACTATTTACACTACTTCTTTTACTTTCCTCTTTGTTTTCTGTATTAACATTGTACTCTTAAGGCACAGGTTCACTTCTGTTTCTCTTCAAATTAAATTTGTCAGCATTTCCATTTTAAAAAATTGAATGTAATAACCAATAACTTCCTGGGAAAAAAATAGCGTTCAAGAACCATGGTGCTTGTATTTTTTCTACCAGAACTCGTAATCAGCTTAATTACAATATGAATTACAATTATTAATTACAATTATTAAATTATTATTAATTATTATTAATAGATTAATTATTTAATACATATTCACTTTTTAATAGTTTCTCATGGAGGTAATTTGATAACCAGGTTATACTGTTAAAAAAGGTAAAAAAAATAAAATACTGCAAAGATACCTTGTTGTCTTTAACTTACTGGGTTGACAGGGAGCAGAATATAATTTTGTGTACCATGACTCACAAAAGCCTGTAAAATCCAGGTTTTGGAGCAGAAAATTTTTGCAGTGCCTATAGTTACTTAGAGTTTAATTTACATATTTACTTGTGATTGAGTAATTCGATTGTTTTGCTCTTCTTCAAAATAATGTACATATTACAGGATAAAGTATGTTTCATATGTATTATTTTGCATAACGTACATTCTGCCTCATACAATTAAATTTAACTGGAAGGCAGTATCTAGAGCTCTAAAATGCTGTGAAATAAAAAGGTAAAACTATGAAAGCCAAACTTACAATTTTTTAATCTCTCTTGTTTCTTTAGGACTTTCGAACAGTGTTACCATCGATTGTTGTCTTTGAGAAGTTCGGAAAAACTTATTCCAGAGCTGGGCAAATAGTCTAATCATCTTGTAAAGTACACAATATAAAACATCTGATAAGTAATCAATAAATGTACTTCAGCAAATGCACAGCAATATGTTGCCTGAATGTCCCATAAAGTATTCTTTCTGTAAAGCGATGCATACTATGTCTGAACTAGTGTTAATTTAGGTTGATCTTTAAGCAATACAGCTTCCAATCTTAATACATTTTTTTTCTGATTTTGAAAAAAAAAAAAGGTATTATACTAGGAAAATTATTTCTGAAAATGCTGTATTTTGTTTAATCTAAATCCTTTAGAATAAAAAAACCAGAGTACTCAAGTGAAAGTCTGGGATTCACATTGTATTTATTACAGATTTGTAAGTGAGGTTAACACTAAAAAAAAAAGAAAAAAAGTATAAAACTTGCCTCTGTTGCTTTTTTGTCGCAACTATAAATATATCTGGTTCATCATTGTTCATAATTTTCAGTGTTAGGACAGGATAGGCTGTTTACACAGAAGACACTAATTTGCTCTTCTGTGGTTGATGTAACATCAGTATTGCAAAAGTAATGTTGTAGTGACACACACACCTTATTATTAGATCAGTTTCTCTATGCCTACTTAAATGTTTTTTTCAATAGTTGTGTATTTACTCCTAGTCCTACATTAAGCAGACAGATACATGGGAACATAATCATGTGATGCTTGGCAAAGAACACATTTGATGACACAAATCTGATCTTTGTTTGCCATTTTCACTTGCATACAATCCTGCAGAATGCTGAATACTTAATATCTTCAGAGCCCATTAACTTAAAAAGACTCAAAAAATTAAATATCATGGGAAGACTTCAGCATTTCTTTAGAGCAAATCATAAGCAAATTCTTAAATTTTTGAGAGAGAATTTTTACAGGAGTTTTATGCAGAATTCTCTAGGATACCTTGTTTGCTTCTCATATCATTTGACTATATTTGTATAAAATATATCTGTATATAGTATTCAAATCAGATACTCAATGGTAGGCTTTTAATTACTGATTTTTCTTAGAGATTCTTTGTTCTGCACATCTACAAATGTGCAGGAAACCTCCATCTGATTTCTGCTTTTATGAACACTTTCTGAACCAGGAGTCACAAATTTCACTTCTGCAGTTTTTTAGCTGTCAGCCTATGTGAAAAAGTTTGACTGCTATCATGCACAAGAATAAAGGCACATTCAATACCATTACAGTAGGTTGCGAGTGCAGGCGCAGGGCTGTAGTGTTGTTACTTTCTAGAGTTTGTAATTTTCAAGCCTTGAAAAGTCTTTTCTCCTCCATGGCAATGAGAAATTAACTCTGGGAAGTAAGGAGCAGCCACCTCAGTAGCTGAGTCTCCTCGATAACAGTTAATCTGATCAAATATATCAGAGTGCTTCAGTTGCTCATGCAAGGGATTGAACAGGAGATACTTGTGCAAAACTGTTGTTGAATGAAGATGCCACAGTAATTTTTATATGTGAGAGCTATCTATCTGATTGCTTCAGCTTTAAGGCAGTTCATCAAAGTAATTTGCCTGGTGTTGCCTCTTTTAACTTCATACCACAGTTTCCCATCAGTCCAATTGGAAATGGCAGTACCTCCAACAGATTAATCTATCTTTCTATTTCTTCCTTTCAGTATCTCTGACCCCAGGACTAAACAAAGCCCACCTTGCAGAGTAGCGCTGCACTGGCAGCAGTGCTCATAGCTGTGGGTCTGGAGCACAGATGGAGGTTAAACCAAACACTTCTTGTTTTAATTATTTGATACATGCACACTTTTCCTCCCCTGAAGAAATACAATCACCATTGTTTCTAAGCACATAGCTTCATCCTAGAAATCTTCTTACACAAAATTAGGTCTGGTCATTTTATTAGATAAATAAACATCCACATAATTAATAAAGTAATAATCATATTACCTGCCAGGTTTAGATTTTTGGGGTTCTTTCTCTTTCTTAGAGAATCCAGTGCTTTAGCTGGAGTTGCCATAGAATGTATGTAATTCATAGGCATATAACATTCAGACTATTTTGTGTGGCCACGTTATAATCCTAGAATAATTTAATTTCTCATTAAGTACACTAGCATTTATTCACTTATTCAGTACATTTATGCAAGCCATTTGGTAATTACATTGGTAATTACAGTGGGAACCTTACCAATCCTTTCATTATATAGAGACACTATTATTTTTATTACTCTTCTAAACTGCATAAAAACACATGTAGAGAGCGAACAGAGGTTTAGCTTGAAGAGATTTTTAAATATAAAAGCATATCAATCTATGAAACTTTAGAAGACTTTAGAAGGATCTTGACTTTTCTTTTTTTTTTTTTAATGCTTTAACTCTCATCCAGGTGCTACACAGCCCGGGAACCTTTGTGAGCATCGGTTAGAGAACCTGCCTGGACATTTTTTTCTATATATGGATAAGGCTGATAGAGAAAATTCCCAATATTAAAAGGAACAGCTAGTAATAATTTAAGAACTTGGTCTTGGGATACCTTCAGTATGTTGGACTCCCTTGATTACAAAAGAAGCTCAGTTTCCATAATATAGCTCAGGGGAGAACAGTATGTAGAGTAATTGGACATCATGAATGATTAAAAAAATAATTTAGCAGTAAATGCTAGCAACTCTGCAGTGTATATGTAAAGAGACAAATGATAAAATTTAGCCCTGGGATGGAGCTAATTTCTGCAACTGGGACATACTACCATTTCCATTTGGTTACCCTTTGTGGCAAGCAAGTGAATGTGTCTGGCAAATAAAATTTTATTTTGCTTTCTTGTTTAAATAAAAAATTGTGCATGTAGCAAACTTAAAAGCAAGTTAACACTAAAATTTTGATATTTTTATTCACTGTGATAATACAGTGAACAAAACAGTGAGAATTTTTATGATGTCATTATGTAACCAGTCTATCAATATAAACACTAAGTGATTGTGTGATTTTACTTTACTCCTGTTTATCTTTCTTTTTGGTATGTTTTACCATATCACTTGTAATTATTGTATTTCTTTTTATAATATACTTCGGTAAGGTATTCTTAATATTCTATTTATTGTAGGTTTTCATTATTAACAAAATTATGTTGGTTTTTTTTCATATAACACTCCAATACTGAATGGAATGTACTTTAGAGAAGATTATTCTGGTTAATAGATGTTGCAATCTATTCTCACAGTACAAAATCTTAATACAGAATGGGTATAGATAGAGGCACCAGGAAAGGAACACTCTGTAAGTCTGAAATGGAGTCAGAGAACTTAATGAGCCTGGAAGATATGTAGCCTCTTTGAAATATAGTTGGCATTTAGCAAACTAGAAGTCAAAAAGAACCACTGCAATGCCAAAAAGCAGACAAAAATAAGAATTTCTACATTGATCTTCAGAAAAAAAAGAAATGTAATTACTCTAATTGCCCCATTAAATGTATTTCAGTCAATTAGAGTTCAACAAATATGAACAGTAAAACATACATAGCCAAACTATGCCTGAGCGACCAGGTTGCTGTTTTCTGCAATAAAAATATAGGGCCTTCAACATGAAGACATGCACCATCCTTGCTTTTCAGCCACTGAAACACGTATATTTTTTTTGTAATTTCTACTGATTTTTCCATGTGCACGAGGAAAAAAAAAAAAAAAAAAGATACTCTTTTTCAAACTGTATGGCTGAAGAGGCTTATTCTTTCCTTTAGGAAGCAGCACTTACTGAGAAGGACCTGTCATGCCAGCTCTCTGACAGAGTATTTCTGGTGTGTCACTTCGGTATCTTTGTGTAATGCATAAAAATCATGGGACTTAATACTTCAATGTCCACAGATGTCTGAGCAATTTCTATAGATCATATAGACCTCGAGAGAGTCAAATGATAGTGTTAGTCATTTCTGCATCAGATAGGGTCTCCTACATGCCAGATACTAAGGATTCAAACCCTCTGTGCTAATGACCAATGGTCTTTGGGTTTAACCACCACTGAGGATCACAGCTCCCATAAAAAGCATGCAGACAAAGACATTAAAATGGAACAGCAATGTGCAGAAAGTTGAACATAACACATCACATCATGAGAAGTCTCAAGGATTTTAGAAATTTCTGGTAATGTCTTATCAAAACTATCTGCTGTTACTCAGTGGATTAAGAATCTTACAGTTTTGTATCCCAGTAATTTCATTTGGCACCTACATAGCTGATGTTGTAAACACAGAATATCTCTTATTTTAGGCAATTTAAGAATTACCTTCAAGGCTGATCCAAGGTGTTCTCCCCACTTGTCTGAGAAAACATTTAGCTTGTAATGCCCTCTAGAGGCACAATTGCCACAATATTGTTGACCACATACTTAATCTGGTCCAAATATGATGCTGTAGCTTTCAAGCAAGAGGGTTTTTTGGGGTTTTTTTGGTTTTTTTTTTAAATAAGCCACACTTCACATTTCTATGGGATCAGACACCTAGAACCCTTAGGAGCTCCACTACTTCTCTAGATGCCTCATTCTGGTTTTCTAATGAAGTGTTCTCCAGCTGAGCTGTGGCCATATTTAAACTGCAAAGCAAAATGGTGATGCTTGTAAACAATAGCGGAGCTTGAAATTTCAATGCTTGACATTGAATAAGACTCTGAAAGCGTTCACATTTAAAAAAAAATAAATTAAGTTTACTGTTATTCCAGTGGCTGACACACCAGAAGGCTGTGCCATTCAGAGAGATTTAGACAGGCTGGAGAGTTGGGCAGGGAGAAACCTGATGAAGTTCAACAAGGGCAAGTGTAGAGTTTTGCATTTGGGGAGGAGAAACACCATGTACCAGTATAGGTTGGGGGCTGACCTGCTGGAGAGCAGTGTAGGTGAAAGAGACCGGGGGTCCTGGTAGACAGGAGGATGACCATGAGCCAGCAATGTGCCCTTGTGGCCAAGAAGGCCAATGGCATCCTGGGGTGCATTAGAAAGGGTGTCGTTAGTAGGTCAAGAGAGGTTCTCCTCCCCCTCTATTCTGCATTGGTGAGGCC